GTGGGTGGTGGGTGGTGGGTGGTGGTCGTGGCGCTGTTAACTGTAGCTCCTGTTGTTCCTGTTGCTGTCCGACTTGAGTTCTGTCAGGACAATGGACGAAGAAGGGATACAGCTGTAGTGATGCATCGCATGAGCCTGAATGCCCCTTGCTGCCTGGTTTTCTTGGGAAATGGACGTCGACATTGAATGCAAGCACTAACAAGTGTCCTGTATCGTCAGATGTTGCATCTTAAGCTGTGGTGTGGCAGGCGTTTGTCATGCGCCAACTTTATCGGCAGGTTTTGCATCAGTTTTGACTGGCCAAGGCGCCAGTGTCAAAGCATGTTGCGGCAATGTTGACAACTTGCACTCGATGCAAGCAGTCGTTGACGGAATTGCCAGTCCAAAGTGCAATTCAACTTGTATATAACTTGCCCGAGCTGCTAGACTAGCCGACCAGCCTGGGTTCATCAGTTCGAAAGCAGCGCTTTGAGAAGGTGTTCGATGTGCGAGACATGGAATGCTGGCTGTTGGCGCTGTGTTCAAACACAGGTGCTGGAAGCAGACGGGCACGAGTTTGCAGTTTGCACACCGCGGATATTGTCAAGCCTGGCACCAAGAGCGAGGGCTGAAGAAGAGCGCAGAGTTGTTTGCGGTCGTTGCTTTGCTGTACTTTAGCCCTCTTTAGCCATCCGCTGGGCTGAGAGTGAGCTAGGGCTGAGAGTGCAAGGAGTGGTGCGCTGGACCTCGTCGTCGGCCGTGACGACGGCAACGTGGAGCTTTGGGGCCTGGGCGATGCTGCGGTGCTGCGCCCGGCATGTCTTTTCGTTTGGTTTTTCCAAGTCGCCCGCCTGACCGTATCTGGCCGTAGCCAGTGTTCCTTTCAGGCATTTGCCTCGCAGCGCTTAGAGCAGGCACGGACTTTGAAATGAAGCTCCGTTGAAGCATGTTGAAGTCACCAATCACTAATCTACCGGCCAGCACTGAAGTCAAAGAAGGCTTGGAACGATTGTTTGCAGTATGCGCAAGGGTGCTACTTTTGTGGGAGGCTCCGACACCTTTGTGGGAGACCTGCTTGCAAGAAAGTATCCAATCCTTGAGCTCCGGGCTCGGTGCTCTCCCTGCTGGTAGCAATGCTGGGGAATGTTTCAGTCACTTGCGCTGATGGATTGACTGCTTGACGTGGTGACCGTATGTCGAAGCCACCAGGCTCGGGTCACATCACTGGTGGCGATTACGTCGAAGTGGTGCATGCCTTGCAGTAGATCTTGTCAGAGCTTCGAAGCGCGGCATTGAACTAATGTCAGGTCCTGGCTACATTTGGTGGCAAAGTCTTAGCCTTCACACCGAGCGGCGCAGCTCGCGATCCAACGGGCACGCACATGGCACAACAAGAGGCAAGCAACTTGCAAGTGAATGTGGCGCACATTGTGGCAGTGCGAGGGCTTGCGCGTTGGCGCGGAGTCTCACGAAAATCTCTGCTTAGGAGAAGGAGGAAGCCGGCTCATCCTTGGTTTCACGAATGGCGAGGAGCTCGATTATTGATTTGGAGTCCGAACTCCGGACTGCAGAGTAACGGTGTATCAATGCAAAATCTTGGCAACATCCAGGTCAAGGGCTCGAAAACAGCTGTCCGGCTCCCTGACATTTTACCCATCAGATCTGCAACACCGTGATGGCAGGATCCATAGTCGGAGACATGTGCTCGCCAGTGGTCGCTGAGGAGTCGGAACAAGCCGAACTGCGACACGAAAGGTCTCGCCGTTTTCAGGCAACACGTTTGCAAGTTGGGATCTTGTCCGCTCCAGCTTGCCTACTTGATTCACTCCTGGCAGAGGTCTTGGAGCAAGAGGCCGCATCGATTTTTCTCATGATCTCATACAGACGCCCCGACCCTAGGCTAGGGTCTGCCTAGATTGCTAGGCTGCAGCAGTAGGTCTGGGATCGGGTGGGCTTGGGTTAGGGGCAGGGGCTACGAGGTGGTTTAGGGCTAAACGCTGGGGTACACTTCGTCTGTGCGCAGGGAGCCATTGCGTCCGCCACTCGTGTGTGCCATTGGCAAAAACTTTCAGTGATTTTGACCACACCGCGCATTCGCAGGCACCGAAGATAAACCAAACCACAAGTTGTTTTGCTAATCTGTCGGGTTTGAGGAACCCCAGTGAATTTGGACCGTTTTGGGTTTCCCAAGCCACCCAACAGAGGCTGTTGGATCTGGAGCCAACACATACGCATTTCAGTGATTCTTGACACCAAGATTAGCAACACCATGGGGATTTTGGCCTTTTGTTCGGTTTGGGAAACCCCTGAATGGTAAGTTTCAAACTGCTATTGCATTGGGGGTTTCTTCAAAACATTAAATTGTCCCGCAAGTATCATACCCTAAGTAGGCTAGGGTACGGGGCTTGTGAGTGTCGCCGTTTCTTCGGCAGAGCCTTCAAAGTGCGTTCCAGTTTGTCCGGCCAGCAGGTTGCCCGACTCAAAGCTGAGTCTGACAAGGCCTGTCCTTCAATCGGAAGTTCCAATTCCCTCGGGGAGAGACTTCTGGAGGCGAGGAAAGAGTACCAGAACCTCTCTTCTGAGCAGATTGCGATGCAAACAACCACAAAGGTCAGTGACCCAGCCTTGCAGTACCATCGGCAGTTAGCGTGAAGCACCTGCTAATCTTTCAGGTGACGCATAGGTTCGGCCTAGCAAGCGAGGAGGCCTGCTACATCCTCACGGTCAGAGCCTGGGAACATTTGTAATTACTGCCGGCAGAAGCCCTCTGTGGCTGAGATCTTCCAGGAATCATGGAAATCATGACCAAAAACCAATGTTTCGCAGGTTTCCTTCACAAAACATTGGAAAAACCGATGGTTTCGCAGTTGTCCTGGTCAAAGCATTCGAACACTCAATGCTTTGCAGATTCCATCACGAAACGTTCAATAGCTTTGCAGGTTTGCTATACTTCCAGATTGCCAAGGCTCTAGGCCATCAGGGTGGTTTCGGATTGGAGTTTGGGTAAATGGGTATTGTTGGTTTAGTTCAAGTCAAGTCGGAAACTAACTTTATTGGTGGATAAGAACGGAATATGCTCAAGAATGTAATGACAATCAGCGAATGTACGCCTGAAAGAGTAATGCTAGAATCAGTGTAATTGTTGCAGGTCAACTACGACTTCTTAATGTTGCCGAAGACTTCACAAAACAATAATATTTTTTAGATTGTATAGAACTCTGAATGATGCAACCTTTAAAGATGTTCAAATAATGCGCGGCTTTCTCCACACAGTCTTAATTCCTTCAGATTTGACTACCATGTTCAAAAACGTTCTAGCTTTTACATATGATCTTTATCAGAAAAGTCATTGTTGACTTGATCGCCACATTTAGCATGTCATGAATGTGTACCAAACATTAAAGGTAGTTGAATCAAAGTGCAGTCAAATTGTTGTGATTTAGATATGTTGTAACACTTCATGTTTGAATGGTATTCAGTTCTTATTCAGCCATATAGACTTACGTGGTGGATTATCGGTGCTTGGATGATGTTGGCTTAACATGAATTAAGCAAATCTTCATTGCGAATATAGTCACACGGATATTGGCTCAACATTAAACTAGCCATCATCTCAACATTAGCCTAGTCATCATTATGCGTGTTTGAACTTGTCCGTTTATTGTATGACATTTTTGTGTAAAGTTTGCTGGTATGCATGAGTCCTGCATATACCGGCACCTGTTTAGCATAGAAGCCGTGGTTTAACACATATCTGAAGGGCCCAAATCTGATCAGCATGCTCCAGCAACTACAGGTACTGCACACCAGCTTGTCATTTCCTTGGGTGTGGGTGGGATGTCTTGACAGAATCAAAGGACACCTGAGGCCACATGTTGAAGCTACAGAACATTTCTTAAAAGCGGTGCAAGATTTCCTCCATCCACAGTTCTACTGCTACTACTACTACTACTACTACTGCTACTACTACTACTACTGCTGCTGCTACTACTACTACTACTACTACTACTACTACCTACTCCTACTCCTACTCCTACTCCTACTCCTACTCCTACTCCTGCTCCCACTCCCACTCCCACTCCCACTCCCACTCCCACTCCCACTCCCACTACTACTACTACTACTACTACTACTACTA